TGGAAAGTATGAAGTGAGTGCAAATAATCAGCAATACTGCCTCAGAACGTCCGCCCCTACTCTCTAGACCTCTAGATCCGAAAATTGAAGAATAACCTCACACAAAAGTGATTCCAGATTCTATCCTGGGAGATGTGCTTTGGCATCCCATGTTAACATCACAAGACACTCCACGAATTATAGCAATGTTAAGGTCCTTAACAGAGAAGAACACCTTTCTAAACGTTTGTTCCTAGAAATGCCTCACATTCTTTTGACAGAACATCTATGAATAAAAATGCTGATGTCAAGCAACTTAATGTCGTTTATTCATATTTGTTGAACAGCGAGAAGCAACTACATATTTCACCTAATAAGTATATACAGGGTGGCCCATCCATGTGTGGACGGAATATTACTCATAAACAAATACATTTTTGGAAAATCTATTTATGGCTTGTTATACATGACATTTGAGGGCACATTTCTAAAATATTGGCAATTATACAGGGTCTCCCAATTTTGACCTACATATCAAGGTTGTGATTTTTTCAATGGAATTCTTCAAATTTTATTGCATATTTGGATGAAACAATTCAAAAGAAGAACATTATAATAACATGCTATGGGGTTTTGGTAATTAGCTACTGAGATGTAAGGTGTTTTGTCCAAAAAAATCGTCCATTTCGGCAACCCCTCAATTCGCCATTTTGAAATTTGGAGTGCTGAATTTGGTATAAAAAACATACACACCTTAGCTTATATCTTAATTGTTACTTTTTCGAATTTTCATTTTTGCTCATATAAAAACGCGAATTGTACTTTTTCTCAAAAACCCTGTATATTTGTGCAAGTTTTGATTCAAGTTTTTTTAAGCTTTTTTTTTGGTATGAGGTTTGATTCAGAAAAAATCACTAGATTTTGAGTTATTAAGCTTTTGATAGAACAACACATCAAAATTAAGGAAGAAAATCACATCATCCATGGAAACAAAAGGCAAACAGTGGGCTTGTTTCATATTGCCACTAAGAGTACAGATTTGACGTAAAAACTAATAACAATCAGAACAGTATTCAGCTTCAAGCGTAATAGAGAAAGACAACTATAACAACAAGATAAACAAACAAGTATCACTACTCAAGACCTAATCTACAAAAACTGCTCGAAAATATCTCCACCATGTTGAATACACAGCCGTAGTCTTTGGATAAATGACTGTTGCACATCCCTCAGCATGTGTTCCCTTATGTTCAGAAAAGCATCCTTAATCCTTTCCTTCATATTTTCCGGGCTGATGATGGATGGTGGATATCTATAAACCTCTTGCTTAACGTAGCTCCGTAGGAAGAAGCCTATCGGTGTCATATCTAGTGATCTAGGAGGCCAAGATATAACTATTTCATTGGGCTTCGCTCAAAACGAACACCAGATTCACCATTTCTTCTTTAGAAAAATGCCTTTTCAAACACGTTTTGAATAATAATGCTCACAAAGCTAATTTTGACAATTTGTAACTAATCAACAATTTATTTGTTTCCAAGGATGATGCGATATTTTAGATAATTAAGCCGTTCCATAAAAGACGTGCTAATATCTAGTATCAAAAAAAAGCTTATAGAAAATGTAATCCAAACTTGCACAAATATACAGGGTGATGCATTTGAAATTTTGGAGAAAAACTACAGTTTGCGTTTTTGACCACCCTGTATGAGCAAAAATCAAAATTCGAAAAAGTAATAAACAAGATAAAAGCTGAGGTGCGTAAGTTTTTTTTGGTACAAAATTCAGCACTCCAAATATCAAAATGGCGGACTGAGGGGTTGCCGAAGTGGGGTGTTTTTCTAGACAAAACAAATTATATCTCAGTAAATAATTACCAAAACCCCATAGTATGTTATATCATTTTTCATCTTTTGAATTGGTTTATCCAAATATGCAATAAAATTTGAGGCGTTCTATTTGAAAAATCACAACTTTGATATGTAGATCGAAATTGGGACACCCGGTATAATGGCCAATATTTTATAAATGTGCCCTCAAATGTCATGTATAACATCCCATAAGTAGATTTTCCCAGAATGTATTTGTTTATGAGTAATATTCTGTCCACACATGGATGGGCCACCCTGTATATACCTTGAGACGTGGTCATTGTCGTTTAGACCAGTTAGGTGAAAAATGTCAAAGTACCCAACAAAAGGCGGAAGCTTTATATATATGTATATATACAGGGTGACTTTGAAGTTGAGTCATTAATTTTCAGATAATGATTGTAGAACGAAGATAAACCAAAATATGTGTGTAAAAATAAAAAAAAAATTAAAAAAAAATTGTTACCTTGTTTTATAAAGTATCCTCCCGACAAGTATTTCAGTGCGGACCTGTATTTGATCGTGAGGTCTTGGAGCACCGGCATGCCGTCCCCTGTGAGGTCTTAAGTCACCTGATTCACGAGCCCATTGTACTACATTAACAAAGGCACGAGGGGTTGGCTGCACTCGATTGGGAAACCGATCCGCATAAACATGTGCCATTTTTTATTTCGTTTGAGCCACGCAACAGACACCACTATTCACTCACGCGTTACCGACTGACACTGACTGTATACAACTGAATAAAATAATTGTAAAAACATCGTTCCAAATTCTTTCGTTTTTTTGTTTCCGATGCGATGAACCGATAAGGCGGATTATATCCGTTGTTGCCAAACACGAGCACATAATATTATTATTGAGACAGGGCGGTACTCAAACTTCCAAAGGGCTATAACTTTGTTACTTTAATTTTACCAGAAAAATGGTAAAGGAAAAAAACATTTCTTTTGATCAGATTTACTCACTGTTAAAATAAATGACTCAACTTCGAAGTCACCCTGTATATATACAGGGTGACTTTGAAGTTGAGTCATTAATTTTCAGATAATGATTGTAGAAGGAAGATAAACCAAAATATGTGTGTAAAAATAAAAAAAAAATTCTACCTTGTTTTATAAAGTATCCTCCCGACAAGTATTTCAGTGCGGACCTGTATTTGATCGTGAGGTCTTGGAGCACCGGCATGCCGTCCATATGTGAGGTCTTAAGTCACCTGATTCACGAACCCGTTGTACTACATTAACAAAGGCACGAGGGGTTGGTTGCACTCGATTGGGAAACCGATCCGCATAAACATGTGCCATTTTTTATTTCGTTTGAGCCACGCAACAGACACCACTATTCACTACCGACTGACACTGACTGTATACAACTGAATGAAATAATTGTAAAAACATCGTTCCAAATTCTTTCGCTTTTTTGTTTCCGATGCGATGAAGCGATAAGGATTATATCCGTTGTCACCAAACACGAGCACATAATATTATTATTGAGACAGGGCGGTACTCAAACTTCCAAAGGGCTATAACTTTGTTACTTTAATTTTACCAGAAAAATGGTAAAGGAAAAAAACATTTCTTTTGATCAGATCTACTCACTGTTAAAATAAATGACTCTACTTCGAAGTCACCCTGTATATATATATATATATATATATATATATGTATATATAACTTATATTTCGAGTTTGCGTAAGTGCCTTTTTAAAAAGTATTTTGTTTCCGAAATTACAAGTAATTGGCGTGAAGGCTAGATTCTAACTGAATTACAAAATGTAAAGTACAATGTTCATTTGAATGATAAGACAAAGGAAAATATCATATTACATTCTCGCAGTTGCCAAGCGCTGCGTAAAGGTGCTGATTTGCATCTTCTGTCTTCTAGTAGGATACAGGGTAGTCCCATAACTCCTCCACCCCTAGAATGAAGCTTCTCCTGGAAGATTCGGTTTTCTGAAAGGTAGCTCGATTTCTTCTCGATCATTTCTCGGTGATTTCTTCGGAAAGGGAGTGGGATTCTTATTCTTCTTGAAATTTCGGTAAATAAGTAGAATGCCCAGAATTGTGAAGAAAATGTATAAGGAAATAGTCTAAGCACTTGGTGTGGTATAATCGATATCTTCAGGGTCAATTAGACGGAATGACTGGATTGGGATATCTTTCATCTTTAAAGTCTTCAGCTCGATTTCAAACTTCGTTTTCTGGCTTTCAGAAATGTAAGTGAAATTTGGCGTTTCCATTAATAACGGCTGGCCAAAACTTTTGTCTAAAAATGTAATCGGTTCGTTTTTAAACAAGATTGTACAGTTATCTTGCGATATCAAGAATATGCCTGATAAGTACCTTGATTATAATTGCTTTTGACAGTGAAACTCTAACTTTTCTTGAACTGGAAGAACGGCTAGGTACTGGTTGATCTCTGGTATGAGTTCAATGTGACTTTCACTTATCTTGACTTTGGTAAAATAGCACTTTTTGCGTTCTTGTTTTTCAAAATGCTGCTACACAAGATATATTCATACTTGCTTGGGCTTGACGAGGACAGTGGTATATATTGCTTTTGGTACGAATGGCATTTAGAGGTTTGATTGATTGCTTATCAAGCGATGCCAAAAAGTATTTAAAATTTGGAAAAATCGAAATAAATTCTGACCCATATTTTGTAGGTATTGGGTGCATGTAGTATAATTCGAATGTATCCTCGAAGTTAATTGGAATAGATAAGAAGTAAGTGATTTGATCAGAATCAATCTTACAGTGTACCTTTATGAGTGATTCAAAATCTAACATATTTTCAAATTTGACATCATAAGGAAGCATGTTTTTATAATAGGAAGATAATTTCGAGAGTTCCTGATGTAACTCGCTTGGTCTGATAATACCTTTTGCAGTTTTTCTGGTCCTAAATTTATTGGTATTATTCCCAAATTTTGGCTGATATCCTTTACTTGGATGGCTTGTGCGCTGATGATGAACATGTATATGATTTTTTAGTCTTAGAAATCTTTCTTGATCTTTTGACATTTGACAAATGAATTTTGTCTGTTGTGTTGCCATGCGTTGGTTTAATTTTTGCGGTTTTGAGATTTTTGTCTACCTTAAGGCTGCTACACACAGTGCCGGCGGCAGGGCCGCCGGACAAGCCGCCGTCTAAGCGCTCTTTCACATGGTCAGGATATTTATCCGTCCGTATGATCGCCCGGCCGGGCAGCACCCTGGAGCTCTCTTCACACGGGTGGACGGGTGTGTGCGAAAATCCGGACCACTTTTTGCTAGGCACTTCAGTTTGCCGCTGATTATGATGGACAGTAGACGCAAAACGATTTTGTTCGCTTTATTAAAACATCGGCGAAAAAAACAACGTAATAGGCAAATTTGGGTTCACCCTTTGCTAGAAAGCAGATACCTGTAAGGAGCATTCTTTGTGCTTTTTCAACAACTGAAAGAAGACGAAACTAAGTTTTTAAATTATTTTCGTATGAGCGTTTCTTCTTTTGATGAGTTGCTGCAACGTGTGCAGACACAGCTACAAAGACAAGATACAAATATGAGGAATTGCATCCAACCTGAACAAATGTTGGCTGTTACATTAAGGTATGTTTATTTAAAATAAATAAAAACAAAATATACATTTTAGGTTAATATTCCATTTTTTTAATGCAAAAATATATTTATTATTATAATACTTCAAAAGATCAAAAGTCAATATCTGAATTATGTGAGAAAGGGGATGTCAAATTGCTATAATTACTACTAGTTTGTGTGTCATTAGAACCAGGAGATATGATGTTTGTAGATATGGTACTCGATGGCATCGTTTCATGATGTTGACTAGAGACCCTGCCTAGCAGTGGAGTGTATGAAAGGTCAGAAGAGGGATATTGCTGAGAGTTCTGTAATGGAGAGCTGCAGGGGTACTGGTGTGTGTGTTGTTGAGAGCATGGAGGAGCATAAATCTGCAGCTGTTGAGGTTGGGTTGTTGGAATAGAGACAGTGTTTTGAATGTTTTTAATCACCTGCAGAACTCCCATCTGAAAAACTACAACCTGGTTGTCTGTGAACTTTTGAACAGATGGAAGAATGCCCTTAAAAAATTGCATATGACGGTCCTCTTGGTCTCCTGCCTCTACCGATTTAAGCATCCTTAGCTCAAATTCGTCGAGGGTTTGCTTCCTCTTCCTCGTTGACTGTTGCACAGATGTGGTCTTCACGGAAGGGATTTTTGCAGTTGGAGTTTGCGAAGTCTGCTTAGTTGCATCCGGAGTCGCCGTCCCTTGATCTTCTGCTGACTGGAGCTCTTCAGTTTGCTGCTGACTTTCTGCTTCATCTGAGTGCTCATAGGCCATGCTTGCATCAGTTGACCGGTGATATAAGCCTTGCTCTAGAAAATTTAGTTGTTCGTGATACAAATACTTTCGCAGTTTTGATGCAGCTGCTCCTGATTTTTTCGAGTTTTTGTCTCGATTCCTCCATTTAAGCCACTGGTCTCTGATATTATTCCACCTTTTAAGAACTAGTTGACCTGTAACAAAAAAAATATTCAACAATACTAGACTCGAATTATAGATTTTCAATTTATTGTTTATTTTTTTTTACTTTCAGGTACCTGGCTAGTGGATGTAGCTTTACAGATCTGTATTATAGCTATCGATTGGGAATTTCTACAATTTCAAAAATTGTTCGAGAGGTCTGTGACATTCTTTGGTCGTGCTTAGCTGAAGAATGTATTCCGAAACTTACGAAAGAACGTTTTGAGTCAGTAGCTGCTGGATTCGAAAAACGAGCGAATTTTTTCCACTGCATTATTGCTGTGGACGGGAAACACATTAGAATTGTAAAACCCGAGTTTAGTGGTTCCTTATACTATAATTATAAGTCCTATTTCTCAGTTGTGTTGATGGCAGTTGCTGACTCGAATTATCGGTTCATTTATGTTGATGTAGGTGCATATGGGAGTGAGTGTGATTCAAGTATATTCAACGAAAGCAGTTTGTGGAAGAGTATACAAAAAAAGTCCTTGGAATTGCCATCTGCAAAGCCTCTACCTGGTTCTGAAGCTCCAAACGTACCTTATTTTCTCATAGGAGATGAAGCTTTTGGATTAAATATTAATCTACTACGGCCTTTTGGAGGAAAGGAACTTTCACAGAAGAAAAGGATTTTCAATTATCGCCTCAGCCGAGCCAGGAGATATGTTGAGTGTTCCTTTGGTATACTGACAAACAAATGGAGAATTCTTCATCGATCTTTGAATGTTAATACAGATTTTGCCGTTAGTATTTTGAAAGCTTGTGTAGTGCTTCACAATTTCGTGAGAGAAAGAGATGGCTATAACTTCGAGGATACCATGACAGTTGTGGGTATGAATGATTTGCCAGCACAAGCAAATATGCAAGGTGGAAGGGCAGCTAATAATATCAGAAATGTTCTAAGTGACTATTTTCTAACTGAAGTAGGCAAAGTATCATGGCAGTTGTCGAAAATTTAGGAATCTTGTTTTATTTATTATATAATTATACTATTACCCAACCATAACATATGTTTAGTTCAATGTTCATAAGAAATAAGAGGCAAATAATAAAATAACTTTAAACTTACCAAATTCTTTTCTTTCCCCGTCACTCAAATTTTCAAAATTTTCCTTCAACTGGGCACAAATACTTCTCCACGCTTCTGTTTTTTTGTTGCGATTTTTGTAATCCTCGGCAGCTTTGTCCCAGATTTCTGGTTTATCCTGAACTAAACTAATCAGGATTTCAGAATCTATTTGTTCTACTGCTTTCGACATGATCAAATGCTCGTAGCTATACTGCAGAGTACACACGGTCTTCGTTCGACAACGGACTACACGCTACTGGACTGCAAACAAGTATAAACCAATCGGACGATTAAACACCCGGATCATGTGAATGCATTCATGGCACACTGTAGTCCGCTAGGGCATATTCCGGGCGATTACCCGTCCGAGCTCCGTGAGTTCTAGCGGGGACATCCGGGCGTTTTGTATGCCCGGACGGGGATTCACCCGTGTCCGGGAAGTGTGAAAGAACCTATGCTAAACTGTGTATTACTATTTGTCCGGTTGACGGGCGATCACACGGACGGATAAACCCCCTGACCATGTGAAAGAGCGCTAAGCCGCCGTACACCCGGCGGCAAACAAAGCCGCCGGCCTTGCCGCGCAAAGGAGCCGCCGTGGTGTGCCGGCGGGTTACGCGGCTTGCCGGCGTCACTTCGTTCCTGGCATTCGAGCGGTAGTGTTGTGCGGTTTGTGTGTTTAAACAAATTAAAATGTCGTTTAATTGGGACGACGAAGCTGTGCTCCTCTTAATTGAAAAATTTCATGAAAATGATATATTATGGAATCCCAGAAATGCAGCACTTCACTAGCTTTCTATGTGACTGTCACAACCGGAATGATGCTTGACGGCTTTGCGCGGCTGGTATTGCCGGCGGCATAGCCGCTCGGCATAAACCCGGCGGAATTGCCGCCGGCACTGTGTGTAGCAGCTTTTAGAAACAGTTTGAGGTTTATACTTATTACGTGTTTTACTCTGTTTCTGCTTATTCTTTACATACACTTTATCTGAAATAGAAGGCAACGGTTCACGATTTTGGTTCATCTTTTCAACTTTTTCATTATTTTGCTGCAAATCTGAATTTAATGTTTTGTACAAAATATTCATATTTTCTTTATGGTGTTGAACATAATTGTTCACTAACTGACTCCCTAAATCAAGATTGAATGGTGATTCAGTACCTAAATGTCCTGTTATAATCGCATAGGGCTTTAAATTTGTAACAGAATGAATCGTATTGTTATATGCTAAAATTGCATAATTGACTTTAATTTCTATAGGTTCCTTTTTGAAAATTTCCTGATTGTTTAACAATCTAATATGTTCAATTAAAGTTGAATGGAATCTTTCTATCATTCCATTAGATTCAGGGTGTTGAGAACTAATAAAGTAAATATCAATTTTGTGCGTTGCTGAAAGTTCTTTAATAACTGAGTTTTTGAATTCTATACCGTTATCTGATATAATTAGTTCAGGAATACCGTGGTGTGTAAAATAGTTGATCAATTTATTAGCTATTTCTATAGCCTGTGCTGAGTCTATCCTATATGCTTGAGCATATTTCAAAAATGAATCTATAATTGTTAAAAATTTACAATTTTCCAAAGTTATGCTATCTATATGCAAAATTTGGAAAGTTCTTGTGCCTGTTGGAGTTACGTTATATAGTAATTTAACAGGATGTCTGTCATATTTTGTGACGAGACATGTTTCACATTGGTTAATAAAATCTCTAACGTTATTAAATAATTTTGGAAAGTAATAATGTGCCTTAATTCACTTTTCAGTTTCTTCAATACCTCTGTGATTGGTTTTCCCTTCATGATAATTTCTGGTAAAATTAATTCTACTTCATCATTGTCTGTGACATCAATTAATTTTTTCGTGCACTTTACCATATTAATTTTCAGAGTTTTTGAAATATTTCTGTAACACTGAACAGAACTGTTCGTAAATGGGATCTTCAAAATAAAGGTGATATTTAACTTTAGGTGCAACATATTCTTTAATAAAATTTACCATTTCTTGTTCGTAGTTGGTTTTAGAAAACTGAATGAGTATTCTCTGCCTATCTTTGAATAGCTTGATAGCTTGATGATGGAAGGGTTAGCAGGTGAAAAATTTACTTGTGAAATAATAATCTCATGTTTACCATTATTGACTGGGGTATCACTTATAGGAATGCCTATAATTGGATGTTCGTGGCTAGAATGAATTGTTTGATCAGATGATTCATCAATATCTATGTCGATTTGGCTATCATTAGCTTCTACAATCATTGATTGACTATCCGTCTGTCCTAAGTTTTGAGTATGTGTTTGTCCACCAGAAGTGGATGCTAATTGATCATTGAATCGGTCCATATAATCAAAAATTGGAAGTTTATCATTTACATCCTTGGTTTCATTAGCATTAAGTTCAATTCTAGACAATGCGTCTGCGTTTTTATTTAGGTTCCTTTTTTATAGACAATTTTGTATTCATATTGTTCAAGAGATAATCTCCATCTGATTAGTCTTGAATTTGGTGATCAATGATTCATTAAATACTGTAGTGGAGCATGATCTGTAACGATTGTAAAGGTCCTACCAAAAAGGTATGGTCAGAAATATTTAACTCCGTATATTATAGCAAGAAGTTCCTTTTCCTTAGTACTATAATTGATTTCGGATGAGGTTAAAGTTCTACTAGCATATGCTATAGGTAAGTCTGATCCTATTTTTCCTTGACTAAGAATAATATATTCTGGATCATTATAATTGATAGTAGTATCTTTTTTCAAACACTTTGTCAAAGGCTTTGTTAATCGCGCAAAATCTTTAATAAATTTTCTATAGTATCCTAATAATCCTAGAAATCCTTTAATTTGTTTTGCAGTTTTTGGTAACGGGTATTTTTGAATAGATAAAATTTTGTCTGGGTTCGGCTTTACTCCATCTTTGATTACTATAATATGTCCTAAATATGCAACTTCTTTTCTTAAGATTTCGGTCTTATCCAATTGAATTTTGAAATTTGCCTGTCTTAGACGTTCAAAGACTTCCCTTAATCTTTCAATATGTTCTTGTAGACTTGTGCTAAAAATAATAGTATCATCTAAGTAAACTAAATATTTCTAATTTTGAATTCCGCGTAGAATATTGTCCATAACCCTTTGGAAAGTAGCTGGTGCATTTTTTAATCCATATGGCACCCCTAAAATTTCGTAATGACCATTTTCCGCATTAAAAGCCGTTTTCTCGATGTCTTCTTCAGACATTTCATTTCAATCTGATGAAACCCGGAAGCTAAATCAATAGTTGTAAAGTATTGGCAATTGCCTAATTTATCTAATAAGTAATTAATATTTGGAAGAGGATACTTATCTCCAATAGCTTTTTCATTAAGCTTTCTGTAGTCAATAACTAAACGCCACTTTCTTTTACCAGAAGCATCAAGCTTCTTTTCTACTATCCATAATGGAGAACAATAAGCTGATGTTGAGTGTCTGATTATATTTTGGTCTAACATTTTTTTAATCTGATTTTGGACTTCTTTCCTGTGTATCTCTGGATATCGATACGACTTAGAATATATTGGTATCTCATCTGTAGTTCGAATCTCATGTTTAATTTTGCTAGTAAATGTCAATTTATCTCCTTCAAAATAGAAAATATCTGAATAATCCCTAATTAGTTTCATGATCGCAGTTTTTTCTTCTGAATTTATGTGTTTGGTTCTAAACTTTGAAAAATCTATCTTAACTTGATCCGCATGATAGTTATGTAAATTAGTATCATTGATTTCAGTAACCAACTCGTAATCCGTGAACTGATCTACCTTCAGTGGATCTAAATTACTTATTTTTATTGATGAATCGTTTGGATTCAAAATAGTACAAATGGCTTTTCCATTTTTCAATATAACAATACACTGTGGTATTTCTAAATTACTTATTCTCGTATAAGGGATGACTATATCACCATTTGTGATATTCGGGCCTTGAATCTCTATTATTTTTTCTGTACGAGGTTCTACTATAATACAATTTGTACTAGGTAATGTTTTATGAAAATATATCTTCGTTCTGTTATCTGGAAAAACTAATATTTCATTATCTAGGTCAATAAATGCTTTCAGTAGTTTCAAATTATCGACTCCCAATAAACAATCAAAATATTTGTGGAAATTGAACAGATAAAACTTCAACTTATTTTTCACTTTTGTGTTGAACACATTAATAGAAGGTATTGTAGTACTGAAATTTTCAACTGAACTTCCATGAACCGTGGAAATTTGAAATGGATCCTTCTTAATGGAATCCTTAAAAATATTTATCCCCAATTTCGGGACGAATGAAACTTTTGGTACTACCTGTGTCTATCAATATTTTCAAATTCAATTTAGGAAATATAATGTAAGGTAATTCACTATCGCTATTTGTGTTCATTATCTCATAATGAGGTATTGCTGATCCGAGGCTGTTGTCCGAAAAAATTGATTATCATCAACATCATTATTCGAATCAACTTGATTGTCATTTGGATATTCGACCTGTGGCTGCTAGTCTATATTAAATAATTCCTCGACCACGTAATTTGGTTTCGAAGTATTCTGATTTCTAAAATAATTGTTACTCTTTGGAATGATTGATTTTGCTGAGGTCAAAATGAACACCTAGTTGATACCGACGTAGGTGTAGGCTTAGGAAATTATTGATTTTGATTTGGCTCAAACACATTAGGTTGCTGTGCTTGTCTGGGATTACTTCGGCTACGATAATTTTGGCTATGAGAATAATTAGTGATAGGTAAGGGTCCTCTAAATTGTGATTGTTGGGAATTTTGAGAATTTTGCCTAAAATGATTCGGCTTATGATTTGTTTTTGACCAAACCTCTGTTTAAAGTGAGTGTTGTACTGCCTCTAACTGAAAATCGTTCATGAGCATGTGCAAAGCTTGAATCCTCAGGATTCTTTGTACGCATTAGGTCCAATAGGTTTTTCAAACCTCTTAATAAAATTCTGAAA